ACCACCAACAACAACAACAACAACAGCAGCAGCAGCAGCAGCAACAACAATAACAGCAGCAGCAGCAACAACAACAACAGCAGCAGCAGCAGCAACACCAACAACAACAACAACAGCAGCAGCAGCAGCAGCAGTATAGGCCCTCACCTGGCGTCCTAGCGTGTTCACGGTGTTGACAGATCTTAGCTGACGCTTGGGGCGAGCCGTCGTTAGGTCCCAGACCACGAGCTCACCCTTCTTGGTGCCGGTGACGGCCTCGGTCGCGTTGATGATGGCCGTGCACTCGGGCATCGCGTTGAACGTGATCATGCTGGGTTCGTACTGCTGCGCGGCGGTCGCAAGGTCAAACACAATGAAGGTCGAGTTGCCATCCCAGTAGTTGTAGAAGCCTACAGCACACCCAAACACAGTGCGATGTACATACCGTACGTCGTATGCTGTTGTACGTAGGTTGTACATCGTTTGCTGTACAACGTTGAATGCTGAACGCTTAACGTTGTATGTTATATGTTGTATATTGCACGTCGCACATTTTGCATAGTACATTTCATATTGAGTGTTGTAATTTGTACGCCGTATAATGTATTCTCAAGCAGGAAAGCTGACGGTAAGAAATGCGGCCCTCTCGATAGGGAACGACGTCTATGAAGCAAGTGCTAATGGTTGTTACCAGCGACAGCGAATCGGTCGTCCTTTGAGATGGAAAGATAGCTGATCGGATCCGTGAGACCTGGTGGCGGATCGTACTTAATCTCCTTCAGTGGTACCTGTGGATACAAGGATCGTCGTTAGAACGTGTCGGTATAATCAGAACACCTGTGGGTGACTACACATCATATGTGTCATCTCCATACCAATATGTCGCATGAGTGTGTTTTACCTCTGTATCCATACCTAATTATATAACGATGTGTCGTACCTGTGCACCTACGTCTAACGATGTAACAACGTGTCGTACCTGTGCACCTACGTCTAACGATGTAACGACGTGTCGTACCTGTGCACCTACGTCTGACGATGTAACGACGTATCGTACCTGTGCACCTATACTGTCTAACAATGTAACGACGTGTCGTACCTGTG